CTACTTTCAGCATCACTGACTCTTTGTCTCTGCTGTCATCTGTTGACAAATTATCCAAGGATCTCTTATCTTGAACATCAGATTTTTGTTTCTAGCCTTTTATACATAGAGTTCCCAACTCTCTTATAAAATTTTGTTTGCGCATGCAATCCCTTTTCAAATAGATTTTGAACACATTAATCATGTTTATTTTCAAAGTCTCTGTCTGATCATTTCAACCTCGGGACTATCTGGCTGGCGTTGTATATATGCATGCACATATGTACAATAAATTCTGAGGTAAATATTACCACCCAGAAGAGCACATGCCTCTTATCATCAGACCATTAGTGAAGTCGAGTCAATCCAATCTGTAGTTTATTTGCATTTAGACTCAAATTGCTCTAGTGGTGGAATGCCACTAACTTGTGTTTAGAGGACTGGAGTACCAAAGTTGTCAGTATTCATGCAATGTTCAGGAGTCTGCACACGCACCACTGAGCAGCTCCTTCCACTCTTCTTGCCCCTCTCTCTGTGATATGCTGATATTGCTTGTTACTCAGAACAAAGGGAATGGTGAGGCAATAGGATTTCTTTGTCCTCCTTCTCCAGCAACTGCCCCTATGGTACCTTGGTACCTTTGCCTCAGATGTGGGGCTTTCTTAGTGCCCCAACCACTTCCACAACAAACAGCAGCTATCTAGAATCAGTACACGGTCCTGGATGAAAGCAAGTTTTCTCTCTCTCTTCCAGTGGCAACAGACGGCTGTTACCCAGTACCAGTATGGGAGGCCAAGGCAGGCAGCCTTCCTGCCTCATTCTGTCAGGCTTTCACCTGGTGCCCGTGCAGAGTCCAGGATGGGTAGATTTTGTGCCCACCCTCAGTAGTAGATGGCTCTTGTATGTCAGAGTTTACTGGCCTTTCCCTGTGGTAACAGACCTCTAACTTGTATCAGTTCAGATTTAGGGGTTCAGATAGGTTTCTTGCCCCTCTGGTACCAATCAGCCTTTGCCTAGTATCAGATTAGGGTCCAAGTTACAGTGGATTCTGTAACTCACTCTGGGTCTCACTCTGCAGCAGGCAGATTTTGCTTAATAAAGAGAGATCTAGGACACAAGCTGTCTTCTTGCCTGTCCCCCAGCAGTGACCAAGAACCCATTTTACTTCCTCAAGGTCCAGGGCGCAAATGGACTTCTCCAGTTTCTATTGCTCCATCCTCCAACTTACGACCTTGTTCTGTCTTTGATTTCTACTGCTGCTCTAACAAATTACTACAAATGTAGTGGCTTAAACACCACAAATTGTCTAACAGTTCTACAGATCAGAAGTCTGACATACATCTCAGTAGGCTAAAACCTTGCCATCAGCAGAGTTGCACTGCTTTCTAGAGACGCTAGGGCAGAATCTATTTCCTTGCTACTCTCAGCTTCTGTAACTACCTGCAGAACTTAGCTTGGGAACCCTTTCCTCCAACTTCAAAGAGAAAATGTTGCATCATCCTGACCCTAGCTAAGAAAGAATCCCTGCTTTTAAGACTCATGGGATTTGATTGTATCAACTAAATAATCTAGGATAATCTCCCATCTCAAAGTGCATCCTCTAATCACATCTCCAAAGTCCCTATGCCAGGTAACATATAAACAGGTTCCAAAGATTGGGACATGAACATTTTTGGAAGGCCATTATTCTGCTTACCATACCATGCACCACAAAGGGGGCTTTCTTAGGTCTCCTGTGTTCCCAATTTTTCTAGTACTTAGTAGAGGCCCAGGAAAAAGAGCTGGCAATTACAGATTGCTCATGTCTGGGGCTCCCAGGGATTCTAAACTGTCATACTAATGTACACTTAAGCTTTCTAAGAATTGGTTAAAATTTCAGCCATATTCTTCTTGCCTACCTTTATGGCAGAGAGCTCTTCTTCCAGAATTCTGCCAAATATGAAACAATTCATGTGTCCTAATTGGAAGGGCTTACCTTGTAACTTTAGCTCTAACAAGCTCAAAATAATGTCTTTGTAGCCTACCTAGTTTATTCTTTTTATTAGAGTAGAAACAACATTCTCTTGTGGTTTTCTACCTCCCAAAAGGAAGTAGAATGCTCAAATTGGCTTTCAAAATCTATGTGTGCATTATATATGGAGAATATATATAGAATGCATGATTTAAACTTGCCAATTAAAAAAATTAGATCTAGAGATAGGTGATTTCTCATGCCACCTCTCTGGCCTTTGGAGCCAAAGACAGACTAGGATCTCAAAACTTGACAATTATTAGGTGTATTCCACTGTGGGAGAGAGGGAATAGTAAAGAGAAGGAGGAAAAAAAATCTTCCTGGAAATGTAGAAATTAGAGTATATGTTTATCTATGAGAATGTTCTGGTGTGAGTTACAATGATTAATAGCCAAGGAAGGAAGAGCAGAAAAAAGAAAGGGAGGGTTCCTATATGGACTTCAACTTTAATTTTTTCCTATTACAAAAAAAAAAAAATGTTACGTCAAGACTTTCATGGAGTCCAAGTTTTCCGTTATGTCAAGCCAAACATAATCTTCCACAGCATTATCAGTGAGGCTTGTCTCCGCTTGCTCTTTCCTAAAACCAGAACCACTGTGTGATCAGAAAGGCAGAAGGCTGCTACTATCTGCAAAAGCATCATACCTAGCTGGCTTTTTACCATAAAGTGAATCAAATTTGCTATAAATATTGAAAAATAGTATGTAATAGAGAAAAAGAGAGATCACAATCTCTACAAAAAATTAATTTCCCAGTGAAATGTTAATAAACCAAGGACTCCATCAGAATCAAAATAATCACAATTAATTCTACACTTCAACCAGATGGAAAATGGTTGAAAAAAATTAGCTATCTTGAACGACAAAAAAAGTTATTAGGCAGACAAGTTAATGGAATTATATGAATACAAGTATAAACATATTACAAAGTATTTAAGCACAGCTGACAAATTCTAGAAATGATAAACTGAAGAAAAGTCAGTTAATGAAATCCCCCAATGGCTGAGTCAGTCAATGCAGCTAAACAGTATAATCAAGCCATTTCCAAACATTCCAACCATGAATTATCCTAATACCATAATCACTACAATACCCTTCCTTGTAATTAGCGTATGTAGAGAAAAAACTTAATCTCTAAAGTTACAATTAATTGTCTGCTTCAGTATGACAAATCTAATGCTTGATTGTAGTCTCAATCCAGAAATTGCTCAGTGTTGCTACGAAACCTAATCATTGGTATCATCTGATACGACTTATTTTTCTTTCAGAGTTTTACTAAACCTGTGTAAAAATTTCCACTAAACCTCCAGCAGATTCTGTGTGTGATGACTGAAAAGCTGAACACAATTTGGCAGCATGCAAATATGGGACACACACTCTCTTTCACTGATTTGCAGTGTTTCTCTTGCTTTTAAGCCTAGATCACTTAGATCCAATCCTTACATTTCAAATATATTTATGTATTACAGAACACTTAGATTGGCAAATTCTCAAAAAAGGAACTGAAAATTTGGCACTTTGGCAGACCCACTGCAGCTTAAAATTTTGCCAAAGGATTATCAAGTTAAACAGCCATTAAAAAGTACTAAAACTGGGATATAAAGTTTAAAATATAGAGAAATAAGACAGGCGTGGAAAAAGAAAATGAATCCACATAGTGCTATACAGTCAGAAATGTAAGTGCCAGGGACTTACTGGCACCTGAATGAATGGCTATATGTACCATTCTTTCAATTTACACTTGTGTATTTAAACTATACATCTTCTCCTGGTTCTCAGAATTTGTCATTCATCTTACATCAACTGCTCTTCCGACTCTACACCAGTATTTCATAAGCTGTCATAAGTAATCAATTCATCTAAGTGTTGTCTAGTTGCTGGGGTGGTTTTGGTACAGCAAAGCAGTAAAAGTTCTAGCTATGGACACACAATTAAGCTTTACAAACTTCACAATGGCATGATATTTATACCAGTCTTATTTTTAGTAGGATATACAGAAAAGAGGTACTCTGACATACAGTAATTGTGCTCTGAATATCTGTTAGAGATAAAGCAGTGCAGGGTGCAATGTGGGATACTCAAACAATGCTTTTCAGAATTACTCTGTAATTTGAAGGTGAACAAAAATCACACATTTGAATAATCCATGAAAGCAGAGGTTGTGTGTGAAGAAAAATGCAGAGCTTTCTAGATAAAAAACTGATTAGTGAAGGTAACTAAACGTGCATCATTTAAATATCACAAAAGTATTGTGGCTATGGGAGATCCATTGTGACGTTCCACACACACACACACACACACACACACACACACACACACACACGATATTAAGGGTTTGGAAGCAGGTTGTATTCCAAGCCAAAGCCTAGCCACAGATGCCTCTTCACGCAAAAAATGACTGAAGCTTCCAAAGCTAATCTGAACTTTGTATGGGTTTACATGGGTGGGAATGCGATTTTGTATGTGTCCCACAGTAAGTAAAGTGTGTGCACACTTTCTTAAATAAGTGTATTTATGTCACTTCAAATGCAAATACTCCTACTACACATAACAATCCACAGACTAAGATCCTGACCCTTTACGGTTATGGTATGTTAAGAATAGATTCTGTGCCCTCGCTGGCTTATGTGAGGAATCATCTTGCCACGATAGTATAATTAATGTTATGAAATCAAAAAGATAAGATTCCTGGCTAACATCCCAGATCACACCGCAGACAAACCTGAGTTTTAATGCAGCGCTGGCCCTCATAAACTGTGTGCCCTAGAGCAAGTTACATAATTTCACGTGGCTCCTTCATTTGTAAGTGGCAACAGCATCTGTGTGGCTGTGCAGATACGTTACATAACACACCCCGCTCCAGTTCTACCGCAGGGAACGCTCTCAATGCTGAGCGCTGCACGTCCAGAGGCAGACAGGAAGGGGCGGAGCGCCAGAGGCCGCGGGGCCGGCGCCGAGGCGGCGGCGTCGTCAGCGGGAGG